CCCCCCAGCACTCACAGGTAACATTATCCCATACGTCTCACATTTCTTCTCAATGCTGAGCCGCAGCTCCCTGCTCAGGACGGGGCTGGTGGAGTCGAAGGTGACTTGGATCTTTGTCTGCCCGGGGTCCAGGGCCAGGCTGTACTGGATGATGCTGTAGATCCCGTCACCTACGGGGGAGGGGAAATGAGGGACAGAGAGAGACACAGTGGGAACCTCAAGGGGAAATGGGACATGGGGCCTTTCCCCACTAGGGGGCGCTGGCTCGAGTCCAGCTCCAGGGCAAGGAACTGGCTGACTCAGAGTGCAGGGGAGCGGGGGATGGGTTTGGTCTGACCTAGGCTGTCCATGGTGCTCTTAGTGACGGTGAAGCAGACCTCTGCTCTGCTGGCCTCTGTGCTGAGCTGCTCCTGCCCCTGGCAGTCGAAGGCCGAGGTGGGGGTGGTTGGGGGATGGAAGCTGATAGACACCGCGACTCTGAGCACCGGCCGGGATCTGCCATGGGGGGAACAGAACCATCACCCAGCTGCTCTCTGCAATGGGGCCAGACCCCCTCCCTCCCCAGAGCCTCCCACCCAGCCTGGATGTGCTCTCAGCACCCCAGGGAGACAAGTTATGGATATGCAGCTTTCCTAGAGGAGATGCTGGGGGGCAGATAAGGGAGCAGCAAAGCAGGGGCAGCAGGTTTGTATAATTTTTGGTGGTGCCCAGAACAGGTCCAAGTCCTGTCCTCCCACACACCCTGCCACACATTCACACCTGCCTAAGGATCTGGAAGGGAATTTGGGTGCTGGGTGCGGGCTCTGGGCTGGGGCAGAGGGTATGGGTTCAGGAGGGGGTGTCAGGTCTGGGAGGGAGTTTGGAAGGAAGAGGGGGTTTGGGGGTGCAGGCTCTCGGAGGAAGTTTGGGTGTGGGAGGGGTTTGGGTTGCAACAGAGCCCCCCATACCACACTCGCTGGACACACTATGCCCAGCACCCCCACCCACAAATCCACAGTGCTGTGAACACCACCACTTCCCCACCCTCAGCCCCACCTCAGCCAAAAGAAGCAAGGGAAGGGGAGGAACCTGGGAGGTATAGGGGGGCAGCAGGTGGGACTCGGACCCAAACTTTGGTGGAGACAGGCCCCTAGGTACGGAATATTCCTGGAGCCTGAGCACCACGGGCTCATGCAACTCGCCAGCCCTGCAGCAAAGCTATTATTGTGCCTTTCTCCAGTACAGGTGAGACAGACAGACACACACAATGTATTGCTGCTGTGTGTGGCCTTGTCTACACTATAGATAACTGAGCATAATGAAGCATGGCAGATTACTGGTTCTCACTCTCAAAATGTTGCCTCAAAGCCTCCCTGATTCAAATAGCTCCCTTTGTGCCCCTCCAATAGCCATGCTATCTGGCTGCTCAAAATCAGCATTCAGGTGATCTGGCTCAGCACTCCACCCCAAGCAAGCTTTTCACCCTTAGCCCCACAGGCAGCTCTGACCATTGGAATGTTTTCCTCACTAAGAAATAACCTTCCCTAAAGGTATCGCCAACGCACTTTTAATCTGCCAAAGGCACATTCCACAGTCATTCTAATCTACTCAGTTTGTTGTTGAAACGCTCCTTGCTGCTGTCCAGGTTTCCCATTTAAGGCTCCATGAGCCATGGGAGTAAGGGATACGCTGAGACTCCCAGGATCACTATGAGCATTTCAACATCCCCCACTGGAATCTTTTGGTCTGGAAAGAAAGTCCCTGCTTGCAGCTTTCTGTGCAGGCCGGTGCTCCTGAAGATGCGCACGTCATGCACCTTCCCCGACACCACATTGATGTCAGCAAAACACCCATGGTGATCTACAAGTGCCTGCAATAACATAGAGAAGTGCCCCTTTCTGTTGATGTACTCCGTTACAAGATGGTCAGGGGCCAAAATTGGAATATGCGTTCCATCTATCTATATGCTGCAGTTAGGGAATCTCATTTCCACAACGCCATTCACTATTTCACGTACATTGCAAAGAGTCATGGTCCTTTGTAGCAGGATTTGATTAATGGCCCTGCACACTTGCATTAATGCAGCCCCTGCAATGGACTTCAAACTGATTCCCAACCACCAGGTAGCAGTCCAGGGTTGCCAGCTTCCACACTGCAATCGCCACACACTTCTCCACCAAGAGGGCAGCTCTCATTTTGGTGTCCTTCCACTGCAGGGCTGGGGTGAGCTCTGTACACAGTTCCAGGAAGGTGGTTTTCTGCACCCACTGCTTGTCATCTCAGAGCTGCATAACAATGTGATCCCACCAATCAGTGCTTGTTTCCCAAGCTCAAAAGCGATGGTCCACTGTGTTCAGCTGCTCCATGAACGCCAAAAGTAATCTGGTGTTGTTTCTTTCCATGGCACACAGCGGATCAGGCAACTCTGGTTCCTGTTCAGATTGGGAGCTCATGATATACTGCCTGACCATCCACGATGTGTTCGTAACAGCGACCACAACAGTACAGATCAGTGCAGGATCCATCTTTTCAGACAGAGATGGCAGGCGCACAGTAAACAAGAACCATTGAAAAATGCCACAGAATGCAGTCGAAAGCCCATGGAATGCTGGGACGGAAAGAACTGCATCATGAGACATTGATTCCACACCCATGATGCACTGCGATCCACTCCACCTTCCCACAACACCTAGCTGTGAAATGTGGTAAGTAGCACACTGAGATTGGTCTCACAGTGCACTGCTCTCACTCTCAGTGCTACAGTGTGGATGCGCTCTGCTGACACAAGGATCATAGTGTGGATATGGAATAGCGATGAAATTATTGCACTTTTAGATCGTCGGCATAACTTGTATCAAAAGCACTCTCTAGTGTAGACAAGGCCTGAGATTGTCGTGCAGAGCAGTGCAATGACATAGAGTTACTTACCTCAGCAGCAGGACCTGCCCTTGTGCCCCCACCGCGATGTCCGGCAGTCCATCCCCCGTCAGATCTGTCCCGCCGCTGACAACCTGGCCAAAGTAGTGCAGCCTGCTGGGAAACTGTGACCCCACTATGCGCTGTAGGGCAGAGAGAGCAATAAGGGATGCAGAAGGGGTGAGTGTACTAGATAATGAACACTAGGAGGCACCAGAGGATAAGGGCTAGGAAAGGGGTGAGTATCCTGTATAATGGGCACTAGGGGGCACCAGAGGTTAAGGGCTAGGAAAGGGGTGAGTACACTGTATAATGGGCACTAGGGGGCTGTGGGACCCCATGGTATCCCTTCAGGGCTGTGTACTGACCCCTCCCCATAGGAGCTGGGCTCACCTGTCTGTACTGGGGACTGAGGCCTCCCTTTTCCCCATGGAAGATGTACAAGGCCCCATGATTGTCATTCTCCATGGGAGCCCCGATGGCCACGTCCGTCTGTCCGTCCCCACTGATGTCCCCGATTTCAGACATGCTGGCCCCGAAGTGCCCAGACACTTCCCCCGTCTGCCCATGTAGCGTCTTGGTGCAGATCATCGTCGTCCCCTGCAGACCCAATCCAAAAAGACACATGAGGAAAGGATTAGTACTTGCTGTTGTCAGAGAGTGATCCCTACCAAGCTCCTTCCCCTTTCTCAGCAGCAGAGTGTGTGTCCCCCCTCCCGACTCTGGGGCCTGGGGTCAGAACTGACTGGGAGGGAAGAGCGCCCCCTACTGAGCCTCTACCCTGCTTCCTGGAGCACCATGGCCCCTACTGCAATACTAATTGTCACAGCATCACAGCAGTCCAGGCAAACAATAACCCCTGGCCACCCATCTTCCCCATGGCTGCACTCCTCTTTCTTACCGGCAAGTTAATCGGGCAGATATAGACGCATCCTCCATTCAGGGGTGTATGGTACAAAGGGGCTCCGATTAGAACCAGGTCCATGTTCCCATCTCTGTCGAGGTCCACAGGGGACAGTATACTCCCAAAATACGAGCCGTTCTGGAGAGGCAGATAAGCCACCCCCTTAATTTCTGCTTCTGCTTCTTCTTCCACTGGGACCCTTCTCACCCTCTGGGGATACGGATTCAGTCCCAATGTCCATTCCATCCTTAGCCTCACCCTCGCTCAGTGCAGCCGGTGGCGCTATCTCTGTAAGCGTTCTTGAACAGACAGGCAGCTAGATCTTGGAGGGACGGGAATGCTGAATGCTAACTGTGGTGCAATTCTTTTCAGAGGTTGGGCTATCACAAGTCAAGTTCATCACTGACTGAGCCATTGTTATAGGTTTTGTTTAGGTGGCATGTACAGGCAATTGGACTTAGAGAAATTCACTTCGTTAGTGTAGTGTGATCTTTTACAGACACTGTTAATATCACTAGTAATGTTATTTCCTTGCCTGAGTCTCTCTAGCCTAGATCCACAAAAGGTACTTATGTGCTTAACCCCCTGGACTTTACTGCCTCTGTGAGCTGCAAAACCTCTGCCTGGCTGCCGCTGACCCCTGTAGGTGCCTAAACTGACTTGGTGCCTAAATTTTTCAGCAGAAGCTCCTTTGTTGCTGTCTCAAGGGCAGGGCTTGTGCCTTTACTGTCTTACTCTAAGCATGCGGTTGCCCGGTGCCCATTTCTCCCTCCATCCATCCCAGCCTGGGGGAAGACAGGTGCTCCTCCATCTAACTCCTCCTCCTCCGGTAGGTGTGGTCAGAGGAGAAGGAACTGAACAGGCACCTGCTATTTCTCAGTTCAGTGCTCTAACCCCTGAGCTGTGGGATATTCTGATGTGGGCTCCCTCAGTCTCCCCTCTTAAAGTTGTTCCAGTTTAATTAAGTAACTAAGTATCAGGTGGGCCACAGAACATGTGCAAATCATAACCACCCTACAGCCTGAGAGACGGCAGCTACCTGGTTAAATCCTTCTTCCTAAGCAGACAAAGCAGGGATTTGAACCAGGGGTCACCCATGTCCTAGGTGAGGACTTTAACCCCCAGGCTATAAGGGAAACATCTCTTGTCTTCTCCAGCTGGTTTGTGAATATCTCGGCAGCTCTGACCATGCCTATTGGATGAGACCCAACATGTGGGTTAGGTGAAGAGTGCCTGTGTCTCTCTCTCCCCTCCCCCCATTCATCGATCGCTGACAGAGGCAGGTGCCTCCCTGCAGCATCACAATGCCTAAGTCCCTTGCTGGGTCTGGGCCTCTGTCCGTATCCACCTCATCAGTTCCGTCTAGACTGTAAGTGAAGGTAACAGAAGTGGGATATTGGAGAGAGGCTGAATGTCAGCTGTGGTGCAGTTCTCTAAACCAGTCAAGTTTATCCCCTGCCTGAGGCTCTCTGACCAAATCGTTCCTGAAGGTGAAGCGAAACTCAAATATTACATAATGTCAAAAGCTTACAGGCTTCCTCCAGTGCTCTCCTTCTCTCACACCCACACTCCACATTACCTGTAACGCTCCCCATACCTGCTCTCCCAACAGCTCCGATCCGGGTGTCCATTCCCCACCCTTGGTATCTCTGCTGAACAGGAGGACTTTGCCGGTGCCTTGGCATAGAGGGGCCCCGACCATGTAGGTGGTCTGCCCATTGGCTGTGATGACCTGAGATGAATAACCTCAAAGGAAAAGAGAGACATGGGGAGGTGACATGGGAAACAGCCATACAACAGTGTGATGGGTTGGAACACCCCGTCTGGGATGCCACCTGATGTACTGGGTTTTCACTGAGCCTCTCCTGCTCCACCAGCCTGGATTCCCACTCCCTGGTTTGCTGAATTAGGCTCTCCGGTTATGCAGCACACACACACAGGTAGGGCCACACCCAGCGGCAGACACAGACTGAAGTCAGCTCTATGTGAGAGGACTCACCTGGAACTCACGTGCACACCCTTTGGGGAAATAAACTCGAAATAATACTGTCTTACACAGTACAGAGAGATCTGCACAGTGCAAGCTCCTAAAAATTCACCCTCTCCCTCAATGTGGAGAGAGATGTGCACAGCTTCTTGCACCCCCCAGGTATGAATTGCACATACTGGGTCTTACTATAAACAAGAAATAACTTTATTAACTACAAAAGGTAAATTGTAAGTTATTATAGGGAAAGCAAACAGAACAAAGCAGATTATCGTAATAAATACATAAAACCTGCAAACTCAGCATAACACACTAGATAGTTAGGATACAAATTAGCAGATTCTCACCCTGAGTGATAAACAGGCAGCACATTCTTAAGGCACAAGTCGCCTTGGCTTTCCCAGGTTTTCATACTCAGGCTAAAAATCCCTCTAGCCTGGGACCATCACTTCCCACAGTTCAGTCTTTGCCTCTCAGATATTTCCAGGGTGTTGTTGTAGGGAGAGTGAGGTCTTTATACATTCTTCCAACTCGCTGGAAAGCTGTTTTGCTGTGACCTGGGCCAAACAGTTCCCATTGTGTCGTGCTATCTCTGAGCGGTTTGTATTGTACCCACTTCCTGGGGTAATCCATGTGCTTATGTGAATTTACTCTATAAGCCATTAACACTGTTTGGACTTTTTACCGTTGTACCTGAAAGGCAGCTTGTGGGTGTTGTGAACCTCACCACACGTTTCAGTAACACATACGTAGCCAAACTTCATAACTTCACATAGAACGATAACACATACAATCCAATGAGATTAATGTTCAGCAGATCAAGACTTTTAGAATAATCCCTCACAAGACATACTTTGTACAAACCATATCCTAATTACATGACAGTGGTGAATATTGGCGTGTCAGGGTGTCACAAACAGTACTACACAGAGATCCCTTCCCCAGAACTAAGATGCAGCCACCTCTGGGGTGATGAGCAGGGGATGTTTAAATAGGTAAGGGGAAATTCTTTTTTTTTTACCAAGGGAAGCATCATTCATGTCCCCAGAGGTTGTGGGTATGTTTTTGAAAGTCAGTTTCCTGCTTCTCTTTCACCGGA